TGTAAGGAAATGAAATGCTGTACTAATATAAATGTACTAGTACCAGCTAGAAATACACTGTAAATTAATACTAAAATGTATAAAGGAACGACTATCTGCCGTCTTCTGTCAATGTTTCTATGTTTAAGAATCATTAGAATTTCCAGAGTATATACCAAAATGTTCTCAAAGCCAAAAGGTCTTGCTACCAGCCACTTGATTGTTCAAAGCTATAGTCAATATTATCTTGAACGAATAAGCTTTGGTTTTATCATAATAGGATTTTTTTACAAAACAAATGCAGGTGCCAGATTTCAGTCGATTGACCAAAACTTTGTTACAGAGCCCAGACAGCATCCAGCACAACCAATCACTGTCAAGCATGAGACTGCAGTTGCTGTGACGGGAACTAATTGGCTTCTGGGTAGCTTTTTGTTTCCAATACAGAGGTAGAGCTTTAAATAAAATCCATCCAACACTTTCACAAAGGTGTATCACTCTCTGTTTGAAGAAGCTGATGCATTGTTTTTGTGTGTGAATGCATTAACTTGTCTGTAAAGCTCTACTGCGTTTCATGAATATATGAACTCAACACAGATTTTCATAAAGGCAGCTCTCAAAACACCTATATTCTTCATAATATAAGTGAAATGACTTACAATAATCAACCATGTCCTGAAATAACCAACTATAAAAGACATAATACTCCAAGATTATATCACAGTCAGTGTTTTTTTCCCCACAGAGCAGCCTCACACATATTCAGTGGCAAAAAGCTGTCATAGTTCACAGCATAAATGTACGTGTTGCTTCGGTGGCACAAAGCCAAGTGATGAAGCTCACTGGCAGCTCGTTCCCCTCTCTTCTATTGTGAAAGTGCAGTGATGTGGATGCACCTCATGCTCGTTCACCCCATCATTACAGGGGGCAGTGTTTAGCCGAGCAGGACACTGGCGGAAGGATGCTCGAATACTATAGAGCTGGTGCAGCTGGCTCCTATGAATCACAACAGATGTTCTTCTTATTCCGATGTCGAGACGATAATATTAGCACCACTGTGACGGACTTGCGATTAACGCATCGGTGATGGATCGGATCTTCAGTCTCTGTTGTGATGGCCAAAACTGAACAGTCTGTTCTAGAAAACCATCATCAGATAAATCAGCTCCAATCACGTTTTGGTGGCGTGAGCGGAGTTGATGCGATGCATTCAAATATGCTAAATCAATGTTTCTTTAAATTCCCACGAGCGTTTTTTCCTGGGATCCGTGAGGCTGTGCTGAAGACGCATCAGTCGGCGGTGCCATCGCTCCGTAGTAGCCTACTCGCACCGTTATTTTCAGTGCTGCGATGGGTCCACACAAGGACCGTGCAATGTGCATTTCCCCAGCCTCGGATTGGGCTGACATTGCTGTGGTAAATGGCTCCGCTTCATCCAGAGGGCGGTCCCAAAGTGTAGGAACACCCCCCTATTCCAGTGCTGACAGCCACATGCTATGGGACATCATAACATATGCTGCTGAAAACAGCCTTGTCCTGTAGCTGGCACTTTTGTTTTGTACCCACCGGCCAAAAGTGGATGACACCAGATCAGAAACATAACTCACCTGAGCACTATACAGAAACCCGTTTAACTTTAGACCTTGAAACGAACTTGTATTTTTTATGCTAGTAGTAATTATTTTTAATTAGTAAATAATCTCACTAGTAGCCTATGCAATGAATTAGTCACTAATAGCCTACTTCCTTACTAATAGTGCAACAGTGGCAACTATCCATTGTCAAACATTGGTAAATTATCACTAGTAACAAATATTAACAAAATGTAATTATAAAGTAGCCATTTACATGTACATAAAGCAAATAACAAATTACATAAGAAATGTTACCAACAACAATAAATACTATTTTCTCATAAATACATGCTTATAACAAATCAGTCACATGTGGAAGAATTAGTAAAAGAATAATGATTAATATGCAATGAAAAACTATTAGTGATGAATTCACAGTCTCTATTGGATTAAGTAGTATCTAATGAATAAATACTACACTAATGAGTAGATATTTAATAATTTGGTTAATAATAAAATATATTAGATACTATTAGAAAATATTAAAAAGTATTAGTCACTATTTGATTACTTACTTGTAATACTACTACTACTACTACTAATAATAATAATAATAATAACTACTAACATAAAATACATAATAGTTAGTTCAAATAAATGTTTTTCCAATTTATCTCCATGAATGCTGGAAGATTAATTTCCAAGTGCAAGATTGAGCATTTCAGACCTGCACTGTCTAGGATGCTACTGATTTATGGTATTTTCCTTGGTTCGGTTTTTCTTACAAGTTTAAAAAAGGACCTAAATTAACACTTGCAGTTTTGCTTTTCTTATCTCTTAAATCCAGCAAATGCTGTTAGTTCTTCAGTTTGAAGGAGCCTGAAGATTACAAATTAGGGTACAAAAAGAGCTTGGCTGCATGAAGCCTACAAAACAAAACTGTTCCCTGAATGCCTGGTCAGAGTTATTGTCTTACTACATGGGGTTTCTTTCAGATTCTTATATCCAAGTCAAAGCACAATGACCCTCTTTCAGAGCAGAATCCAGTCATGACTGTCATGTTCTATTCACGGCTAATTAACACTAAATTTACCACTTCAGAAAAAAAAAATAGAGACATTTCTCAAAATATCTTATTTTATGTTCCACAAAACCAAAAGTCATATAGGTGATGTGAGAGAAAGTAAATGTTGACAACTGAACTATCCCTTTGTCATTTTATGGTGTAAAAACACTGAGAAAAAAAACTTCTAAACAAGTCCATATAATGTTTCTTCTTCAAAAGTGAACTCTCAAAATCCTTTGTAGCTCTGATCTGAATCAGTCTGATTATTAATAGTAATATCCAATCCCAGAATGTTCTGTAGCACACTGTATGGGATCAGATTCCCGTCTCTAAAGTATTGCAGTCACGGATAAAAAAAATAACAAGCGTTAAATTAAAATTTTAAAACGCAAGTAAAAATATTAATATTTAAATTTTGTGCAATATGATTTTAAATGTGTTTAAAGTTTTGATTCATGCTTATTATTTTTTTAAATGCGTTATTAATTTTTCTCATTTACGCTTATTATTTTTCTATCCGTGACCGTTGTTTGCTATACTGAAAACTTTGCTTTCGTTTTTAAATCTTGTGCAATATATTTTTACTTGCGTTTTTAAACTGTTTTCACGCTTGTTATTTTTTTATCCGTGACTGCAATACTTTAGACGGGAATCTGATCCCATACCACTGGTTTAGTAGTAATCAATTAGCAACAACACAAGATATGAAATCTTTGCGAAAACATTTAAGAAACAGATGACAAACTAATGATATGAAAAGCCGATCTGTTAAACTCGTGTTTTAACTCTAACATGAACTGTCATTGATTCGCCCTAATCATCACCATCATTAATACCTGCACATCCTTCATCCAGACATTACTGACCATGTACAACATCTGTTGACTGTGATCCAGCGCCATCCAGTGTTACATAATAGAAAATCCGTTCTAAGATGCCATATTACACTTGGAGACCTCTAGTGTTCACTGAGTACATTACAATTCAGTTTTTTTTTTCTTTGCAGAGAATGCAGTGAATGAATGGGTGGAGACAGGCCTCTTGTAGCTACCACCCTTTCTAAAGACGCTGTATTCAACTCCAATGAAACGTGAGAATATCATATTTCATGTAGTCTCACACACTTTTCTGACAGTTCTGAAAGCTTTTAGCAGACAGATTTTTCAGCAACAATTTCAATAATATTAAATAAGTAAAATAATAAGTGCTTAATTCCTATATTCTTGTGCAATAAATATTTCAATACATAAAGTGTTAAACTATAAATTACGTTTTTTTTTTTCACAGCCAGCTTTGCAAGAGGAAGAATATTTAGGAGAAATATCTCAGCATCAAGCACTGTTAGTCATGCAGGCTACAGGTGAACTGCATATCACAGGAGTGATATTTTACATTTGCCTAAAGAATACATATGTTCATGTTACTTCATAAGTGATAAAGGGTATTTGGCTTGCTGTACGCAAAGGAAGGGCTCAAGGATGAAGCTCAACTCAAGCTCCAATTTACCGCCTATGAGACTACTAAATAGATGAAGATAGCTTCTGTATATAGGGCAGAATATCTTAAAGGAGTGGGGATGGAGGTGGGGAGGAGGAGAAATGCCAGAAGGACTGTTGCTAAAGTGAGCCAAGCAGCAGCTTATATATAGGTTGATTAGATGATTAAATACGCGGCTCCTTCTGAACCCTATAAGAATTTAATTGAGAGGCAAACATACTGTAATAGAAGGGCTTTGTACTTCAAGCTGTAAAATTTAATATCATAAAATACCATCCATTTCATGAGTCATCACAAAATAACACTGTATGAGTATGTATAATTGGCTTTCATTGCCCACACAAAGCAGCTATTAAACCTCTGGTGCTACAACAGTGAACACATTTAACATCAGCATAGTAAACACATACCCTGACTGTAGCCAACTAATCAAAAAAATAATAATAAAATCACCAGCACAGCAAATTATTACACACTTTACTCTAACATTAAACTGCCACTGAAACCCCCATATGAATTATTAATTATAGATGTCTCTTAATTATATAATACTCTCTTTTCACGTCAGGTAGGCAATATAATTTATCACAAGATTCCAAATCTTATAAATTAATATATTAAATATAGAAAATATATAAATAATATTTTAAACATATTTTTTAAAACGATAAGTTTGCGTACGAAACTCTAGATAGTATATTTTGCAATAAATAACACAAAATAACTAGGCACTAAACAGTCTACTCTCATATTCCACAGTATTCCGCTTTGTGACAACGTTGTTTGTAGATGTTCGTTCTGAAAGTCTTGGCCTTTGATACTGTTCATAAATAGTAAACATCTGCAAGGTAATCGCTCTCATTTTACGATTAACACAAAGTTACCTTCGCTTGTTGTTTGACGCCAAAAGACCTGACGCCTTCATGCGCTTTGGGTTTTTAACAAACGATGGGGCGGGGTCAAGAGAGGTTTAATCATCTGATTGGCTGGAGCTGACTGCAGACAGGAAGAAAACACAGCACTGCGGCATCTGATTGGATGACAGGTTTGTATCAAAGTGAAAATACGTGCTTCGAGTTCTTTACTGTTGCCGGGGCGTCAATGGCGGAACTCCGCGGCAGAAGTTAATATGACACAAGATAGGATCGCCTAAGGTAATACAGAAAAAAGCGCTTAATAATAGCATATGTTTTTGTTACAGTTTATTTTTCATTGCTAAGTTAGAGATGTTGTCTTTTCGTGAGCAGGTTTATAGGTGGAGCAGTTTGAAGAGCTTACTGTAAAACTGATGAGTTAAAGTGATGAGTGTTGGTGTTGGTGTGGCGATCCTCATACAGTAGAAGAGCCTCATGAACTGCTGCTTTTTGAGTTTGAAAATAATTGCTAAACATTTGAGATGTTTTTCATAGCTGATGTTGATATTTACTATGTGTGCTGCTCTTCTGTCATCTGCCTTTCATTTCTACCGTTTTTGGACATGTATAAACATGTTGAGTGTGCACGGTGCATCATCATGGCCCTTAAGAGAATTACTGCACTTTACATAGCTGTCCTGTTATGCTTGGATTGGACGTTTTTATGTAAGAGCATAAGTGTGTAAAGCTGGTGGGCAGCAGAATGCAAAAGACCTCTGATAGTTTATAAACACTTCTGTTTGTTTAACTGCATCTTATTTACTTCATCTTAATAGAAGGGCCCTTTAAACCGTGGCCCTTATCAGTGAACGGTCACCGATTGTGAAGTAGGACACATGATCCTCAGATCAGAGACATCTCACACTGGAATTCCCAACATTGTGTTTTGGCAGCAGATTTTTTATTTTTTTGCCATTGACTCTAGGTCATTCGTGTCCCTGTGAAAGTTAGCCAGTCCTCCGCTGTACTCCCTGATGGATTCACTTGTGGGAAAGGATTCTGCAAGAGTAATAGATAATGTAATTGCTTGTCTTAATGCTCTTTGCCTAGATTACTAACCCCAGTCTGGATGAGATCCCTGCTGCTAAATCAGAGGATTAGACTGTGATTTTGGAGAACTCCTCCCTTTGCCTTGATCATGAATTGTCAAAATGTGCTAAATATGCCACTGTTGCAACTCATAACATTTTTTTGGGCATTGATCATAAGGTAGATGTTTGTGGAAACTCACAGGCTTGTTGGTGCAGGTCACATTTTGTAATTAAGTTTTCTCTCACATAGGTGTATAGATGAAAGGGTGCTTTTGAGAGTTAAACATAGGTTCATTCTCTACTCTGTGCACTAAGGTCAGCACCTTTGTGTTAAACAAGGGTAAACTGAATAACTTGCTGCCGATCCACCTGTCCGGTATTTGAGTTCATTTACACGCATAAACAAAAAGGCATCTGTTCTCTCCTGCACAATGACACCAGTGTTATACAGGCACTATTGTACAGAAGTTGAGTTGTAGCTTTGGTTCAGGGTAGTGTCTATGGGTAGGTTCAGTCATGCTTGTGAATTTAAGCCACATGGGCACATGTAAGAAAAGTGCAGTTGCTTTCATTTCATCTTTAATGGAAGTGGTTTCATTGTAGCATGCTAGCCTTAAAGGAGATCGCCTGATCAGTAAAGACGTGAGAGCTGTTTATTAACATAATACGCTTTGGTGCGAATATGTTTTTGCTTCAAGATCCAGATTTTACATCAAGTGGTGACCCAACACAGTACCTGATTTGTTTATTGTACAAAAGTAAACAAAAATGTTAACTTATTAATATTACCATGATCTGCAAAATTATGAGCTGAGTTTGCTGAATCAGAAAATTAACTTCTTAAATGCATAAACAACAGCAGCAATGTGATCTACCAGCCTAAAGGCCTATTCAGACCAAGAATAATAACTATAACAATAAATATATTCGCATCCACACCAAAGCATGACAACGTCTATGTATTATTTTTGGGTTGTTCACAGATTTATTATCTAAAGTAGCACAAACAGGCACAGCAGTTTGTTGAGTGTCACACGGACTGATGCCATTCTATGAAAAACCGTGGCTCACACTGTTGTGCTGCTCTTTGACTCACTGCTTCTATTTAGTTCTATGAGTTTATAGCACAAATCAGGTCTTGTTTTTGATACATGTAGTCTTCAGGCCAGTGATTCATTTCCACGACTCCAGTGACTTTTGCACTGCTACAACAGTTGACATGGCTGTGGTTTCTCAATGTTATAGTGTCTGAGCCTTTTAGTCATAACTATACACAACTGTATCATTCTCTTGTGCTAAACTTCAACAGATAAGGCTGTGAACGCGTTGTTATGATTCAAAACACGCTTCCTCACATCCACATGATGTGGAAACGATGGCCTGATGGTTTCATAAAGTTGCTGTTAAATTTGTTATGAGCATGAAGAACAGACTCTGTTTTTTGGCCTGTGTGGAATTTCATGCTCTTGTTATTATTAGTTTAGCTTTGTTAGCGTGACATTTTCTGAAATGGGTGCGTTTTGGTTTCAGCCTTTCTCTCGAATGCTTTCTAACCCCATAAATGATAAATCCAGTCAAAGTAAAAGTTATCTCTATCAATGGGAATGTTTTCCTACACTTTACCTTGATATTTGTGATTTGGCAGAGGTCAACAAGGATGTCAATAGAGGCAGAGGCGTTGCTGCAGGAGGCGAAGGAGAGCATTGAAGCAGCCCAAAACTACAGAAGCGAGCTACAGCAGAGACTGCATGGACTCAGCCAGGCACGCAAACAGGTACAGCTGTGACTCTCTGCACTGCTACTGAAAGAATAAATAGGTTTCCAACAACAAGAAATGTGTCAGTCCACACAGAAACTGCTGTGCAACGTGACACAATAACAGCCAATCAGAATATATTTCATATATATGGTAGTATTTTAAAACAATATTTCACAGTGGGTGGGGCAACACAGTGTGCCACTGCAGAAATCAGGGTTGGCCAAAACTCAGAATTTAAGAATTGGCTATTTTTCTATTCATAAGTTGGAGTTTAATTTAATTGGTGACACCTCATAGAAAGTTGAATTGGAATTTGAAGTGGAATTTATCAGCTGAATTATAATTTGGTGAAATTCAACAGGTAATCTAGGAAATTTAATGTTATTCAACCTTGGTCTATAAAAGTAAAAGTGTGTAGTGTTATTTTAGTATTATTTATATAATATTGTAATATTTATTAATATTTTAAATGATCTTTTATTATGTTTTTTTTTTTCAGCTTTATTTCAATTAACAAAAACTACTAAATAGTTTTAACAATAACACTAAAATTGTATTGTGAAATGTATTAAATACAATAAAATATGGGTATTTCTAATACGGCTATGGCTATCCTCAATTCAATTCTGAATGGCACACAACCCTGGCAGAAATAGAATAGAAGTAACTGAAAAAAATCCCATCTCATCTCTTTTGCTTATCCCTTGTCTCGGTCATGGCTGGTTATCATAAAAACAGATTTACATGGAGGAGTTCGCTGTTTTCTCTTTATCTCATCCCGTCTGGTTAGGACACATTGTTACAGTCAAGCCAACCCCATAGAGACAGTAATGAAATTGCTATTGATCTCACCCAGCATGCACTATTGCCTAAAATAATACAACAAAATCATCAAACACATTGTTGAAAATGCCAGAAACAATTCAGCTGCACAAAGGTAGTGGTTCCCTAAACAGTAACCAAATATTGTGACATGTGGGTGTTTTTGATAGAGCGAGGGTAAATGATACTCCCGCTGTCTCGGTGAAGTGAGTCGGATCCTCTGTGCCAGGAAGCCTGTTGGTCAGCACAGAAGGGCTGATTCATGCCACATGTCTCCCGGGGTGGCTGTAGGATGTAAAGCCGGCCTGCTGCTCGCTGTTATCTTCAGACTTGACTTCTGGCATCTTACCCAACTTCCTCCTCCCCCCACCTCTCAGAATGCCTCATTCAGTGTGTAAACAAGGCTGTAATTTCCTGCTCTTCTTATGAGACTGTAAACTCAGAGAAGGTTTAAGCTCTCGCTCCTCACATCCTCCACAGGACAGAGAATTAAACCAAACTTTTAGGATCATTGACTAGTGATTGCATGACGCCCCATGGTACTGTGATTAACCTCACAGCGTGTGCAGCTGTCTGAGGGAGATCACATATGTGCATCCCATCTGATATGATCATATCACTTGCTCCGTTATTCACAGCAAGGACACAACATTTGTGGTCAATCTTTGGGTCAAACTACATTATTATTTTTCTGCATGAGCAGAGCTACTTCCAGCTTCCAGTTGTAGAGGCTCATCTGTATTGTAATTCTTCCTGTATTAAAAGAACAGAAGCTTCCCGGTCAGTGGTTGAGTTTGATGTTGTATATTTCACATTAGCTGTTCTAGTCTACTTCCTCTTTAAGTTGTTACACTAGGTCTCAGCCACTGAGGCTTCCTTAAAACCTACAAATGCCTCTGTTTCCCACACCCTGTTACCCACGAGCCAGAACATTGGAAACATACAGAGCTAAATGGCATATGCATGTTCAGGTCCAAATCTATATCAAAGTATCCTGATATTTTCACAGTACTGTATTAATATTCTCTCAGCAAACATCTATATTTTTAGTGGGGTTTTTTCATAATTTTATTATTATTATTATTATTATCCTGCTCAGGACCTACAGATTAAATGTAACTCTGTAGCTAGAATTCTCTCATCAAAAATGTATATTTTTCACATTTTATATTATTATTATTAATCCTACTCAGGGACTATAGATTAAATGTAACTCTGTTGCTAGATATTCTCTTATTCTCTAAATTTATATTTACATTTTTCCATTTTATTATTATTATTATTATTATTATTATTATTATTATTATTATTTGGACTGCAGATGAAAATTAGCTCTGTACTTAAATCTGGGGCAAACATGGACTGTCGATAGTATGTATTAAATAAATATAATGATTATTATTAACTTGTGTGCAGATGAATATATGTATATTGGGTTTTGTTTTATTTTGTTCTTTAAAGATTGCTAACTTTTGCTATGCAGTAAAAAAGGAACTGCATGATTTGGGGCTTTAATGGGAAGATGAATCTGCTGTTGCTGTTATTTGAATTTGATCAATATCCAAACTCAGAACAAGCTAAGAATATAATTTTGAATCATATTACACTAAACAAAAAACTACAAGAATAGTGTCCATGTGTGTCAGTGTGCGTTTGACATTATACATTTGTTCTAAAGAGTTTTGTAGGACCGTACTGACTTAGCCTCTTCCCGGAGATCCCGTTTTGGGCTAACCCTAACCCTAAGTCTAAACATCCTGTGATGGGGAGTCAGCATTTCTAATCGACGCCCAAAACCCAAAGCAGCAGAGCCCTGAGGTCCTGCCTCCTCCCTCCACACACACAACCCTCTACGCACACCTTGGCAATATAATCGCCATTGGCTAGTACATTTTTTGGTTACTCGCCAGACTGATATACTATTTTACACACACACACACGTTTACTTATCTATCTAAATGGGGACATTACATAGACTTATATTGTTTTTATATACAGATAGTTATACTCTTTTTAACCTAAACCCACCCCTACCCCTAACCCTACCCCTCACAGAAAAGTTTCTGCATTTTTACAATTTCAAAAGTAAAAAAAAAAAAAACATCTATATTTTTAGTGGGGTTTTTTCATAATTTTATTATTATTATTATTATTAT